TTCCCCCTCCCCCCAGCCTCTGGTAACCATCATTCTGCTCTGTTTTATGAATTTGACTTCTCTAAATACCTCATATAAGTGAAATCTTACAGTATTTGTCTTTTTATCACTGGCTGATTTCACTTAGCATGATATCCTCAAGGTTCACCCATGTTGTAGCTTGTGTCAGATTTTCCTGCCTTTTAAAGGCTGAATAACATCCCATTGTATGTATGTACCACATTTAGTTAATCCATTCACTGGCTGAAAGACATTTGGGTTGCATCCACCTTTTAACTGTTATGGATAATGCTACTGTGAACATGAGTGTACAAATACCTCTTTGAGACTCTGCTTTCAATTCTTTTGGCTATAATACCCAGAACTGGTATTGCTGGATCATATGATAATCCTATTTTTAATTTTGGAGGGAATTGCCATACTGTTTTCCATAGTGGCTATACATTCCCACCAGCAGTGCACAAAGGTTGCAATTTCTCCATATTCTTTCCAACACTTGCTTTTCCTTCTCCTCCTTCAACTTCTCCTCCTCCTTCCACTTTTTCTTCTCCTTCTTCTTTCTTCTCCTTCTTCTTCTTCCCCTCCTCCTCCATCTCCTTTTCTCCATCTTCTCCTCCTCTTCCTCCTTTTCCTTGCTCTCCTTCTCTTCCTTCTTTTTCTCCTTCTTCGACAGTCATCCTAATAGGTGTAAGGTGGTATTACATTGTGGTTTTGATTTGTACTTCCTTAATGATTAATAATGTTGAGCATCCTTGCATATGCTTACTGGCCATTTGTATATCTTTTTTGGATAAATGCTTATTTAAGCCCTTTGCTCACTTTTTATTTTTATTTTTTTAAGATTTATTTATTTATTTATTTGAGAGAGCGAGAATGAGAGAGAGAGAGAGAGCACATGAGAAGGGGGAGGGTCGGAGGGAGAAGCAGACTCCCCGCTGAGCAGGGAGCCCAATGCGGGACTCGATCCCAGGACTCCAGGATCATGACCTGAGCCGAAGGCAGTCACTTAACCAACTGAGCCACCCAGGCGCCCCCTTTGCTCACTTTTTAATAGGATTATTTGTGAGGGGGTTTTTGTTTGTTTGAGTCGTAGGAGCTCTTTATTCTGGATATTACCCCCTTATCAGATATATGATTTGCAAATATTTTCTCCCATTCTGTAGGTTGTCTTTTCACTCTGAGTGTGTCCTTTGATGCATGGAAGTTTTAAATTTTTATGTAGTTCAGTTTATCTATTTTTACACAACCGATTTTGTTTGTTGACTTTGTATTCTGCAACTTTGCTGGATTTGCTTATTAGTTCTCACAAGGTTGTTTTTGTTTGTTTGGTTGGTTGGTTGGGGTGTTTTTTTTTTGGAATTTAAGCTCTTCTTGATGCTTATCAGATCAGGCCAGAAGACTCTGTTTGCCCTCACTGAATTTCCCAGGCTTTCTTGGCTCCTTATGCTGGAGTCATTACTAAGAATATCAGGGGAAAGATTATTTGCTCCATATGCTGCCACCAGCAGGATCCCCTGGGTTGGTATTTGGACTGAAAGGTAGATGAGTATTTTTAGGATGTATTTGGTGTTAGGTACCCCAATGCTGAAACCTTGTTCCTACACAGTCCCTACAATAATGACATCCCACCTACAGGAAGGTGAATGAGTATGAGAGGCCTAGAAGCTAGAAACTTGGGGCCCTTAGGAATTCCTCTGAGCCAACTTGAGGCAGAACCTCCTTTCTTGAACAGCATCTTGGCGCCTTTCCTGAGGAAGAGGGAATGGACTAACTCTGACTCTGGGCTCTCAATCCCATCATTTGCTGCATTAGAATCCCTGACCTATATGACCAGCTGCACAAGGCAGCTTTATGGAGCTGGGCCTCTGGGGCTCAAACAACTTGGTTTGGGTTCAGAAAAGCATTTGGTAGAAGAGCAAGGAGTACATATTAGTTGACAACAGGAGAATGCAGTTTTACCATTCGACTGTGTTTCTATCCAACTATGTCTCAACTCCATACTAATGCTATCTTCCAATTCCTTCCACTCCAGGAAGACTGAGCCTCCTTATTTGATATTCCCATCTTTCTGGGGACCCACCCACCACCCAGGGGATGATTTTATTCAGACATTTCTGACCCACCTCTTACAAAATCCTCTCTTTACCAAACTGGTAGAGTTTGAACTAGAGGAAATTGAATTACCTGGGCTAAATCCCATCATCATCTCTCTCTGGGGCCACTGATCAGCCCTCAGAACCTTCAGGGCTGTATATTTGGGAGTTACTTTTAGGAGGTCTAGTCTGTACTTCTCTTAGACATGTCTCCTGAGAAACTTATCCCACCATTTCGGGATCATCTGAAACTCATGGTCATTGTGAACTTGATCATCTTGTTGTCAAACATAATCAAGCTCCCTTTAAAGTGGCAAAGAAAATACCAGCATTCAAGGTGATACCTGTGAAACAGGCAGTATAGAGCCCAGCCTCTAACCTAGCCTCATTTCAATTTCAAATTCTGTATAGCCCAGTAGTCCAGGACCACAGGGTCAGTGACTTCTCATGGAGATTAAAATTCTTGACTTGGCACTGGAAAAGAAGGATCAGAGGATTTCATGGTCTGTGGCACAAGCTTGAACTAACCACCATCAACAGGAAAGAGCAACAAGAGGAAGGGCAGATAAAGGATCAGACCACTGTCCACACAATCCTATTTCCTGTCTTGGGGTCTCCATCTCAGTCTTGATATTTCTCTTCCTACCTAGGGCTACCCGGATGCTGGTCCCTGTGGCATGGATATCTTACCTAGGTGCCTTCACCATCTTGCAGACCCTATCCAATGACACAGCTGCACTATAAATTAGCGTATTATGAAGCCCTCTTTAAGCCTTGGGACTCTGGAGGCCACAGGATCTTCTCTAGCCCCTCCTGGGCCTCTGACAGACACATGGGCATGCTTTAGTGTCATAGCTCAGAACAATGACACAGTCTTCTGATGTTTGATTCCTTGACGAAATGGGGCCTGTCTTCCAATGTCAAGGCAAAGCCACTAGCAGACTGATCAAGCAATTTTTTCTTTATCTTCTTGGTTTCCTGAAGAGGGTGATCTAAGATCCCTCTTCCTATACCATGTGGAACTCTATTCACTATCTTTTAGGTCAGTTTTTAGGGGACTTTTTTTTAGATTTTTAAAGGACTTTCCTTCTAACCCCCTTTAGGGGGTACTAGGAGAAGATTAAGCAAAAGGAACTTCAGCCCCATCCCCAGTCCCCACCTTTCTGGTTTCAGTCAGAGCAGTTCTACTCGTCTCTCATTTTTGAGCTTCATCCTAATATTTTTGTTAGAACAGCAGATTCCACAGCTTTTTAAAACAGTTGGGAAACCAGTGATCTGTTCCAAAAGCACTCTTCTGTGGCTAACGCTCCCAGAAGTGAAGCACAGTCACCGATTATACTCTCACCACATCAGGTTGGCACTTCCTCTAGGATTCCAGCCACAAGTACATTACACATCCCTTCCCCCTCGGGATCACTGGGCAGTAATCCTCTGGAGAGGAGGCAGGATTCTGCTGAAACATATTCTGCCTGTCCCATTTAATCACAGCCCCCACACTCCACACAGACACAGCACTGACAGACACTTTAGGGTCCCTGAGCAGCCTAAGCTGAACCCCACACCATCCAGGTAAAATATGGACATACATATAACCCTACTGGAAAGTCCCTCCACTGCTAACTCCAGGCAGTCTATTCTTTCTTCTCTTTGACACACAGGCTTCAGTCTATGACCCTCACCAGCCTTGTCTCCCTTGCACTCAGGATCCAAGGATCCCCACTGGCCTAGCCAAACTTGTCAAGGAGTAAAGGAGTTTGGGATGGGTTTTCTTGGGCTCCAGGATCTGAAAGTGAAACCTGAAGCCAGATTCTCACCTGCTCCTTATCTCCCCACTTAATGTTGCCTGCGTGAAGCCACATCCTATTTCAGAGATTTATGTTGGTGCAGAAAGGAACAGGGCTTTGACAGCAGGCCCTGTGACCTGGGACCCTCTACCCTGGGTTCCTGGATGGTGCTCCTGAGGCCTGACTTGCTAGATGTGCAGCTAAGCCCTGGTTTACAGGCCCAGCTCTCTAGCTTTCTCCAAGGAAAACATTCCCAGAGGAAGAGAGAACACAGGGAGGGATCAGACTTGTTCTCAGGTGGCCATCCAAGTCTACAGGCAGAACTTGTCCTTCTGTAGTGTGAACACCTGGGGAAGGATCAGGGCAGGAGCACAAGGGAAGGCAGAAAGGAGGCAGTAGGTCTGTGAGGGCCCAGGAAGCTCAGTGAGGGAATGAGGTGGTGGAGGTGGGAGTTAAGGAAAGGGGTTAAGGGCTTAGCAAGTGTAGAGAGGAAAATGCTAATGTTGGAGGCTCAGGAACCCAAGCTTCCTGCCCTCTTTAGGCCTTTGGGAGGGGCACCCAAGTTGAGTTTGGTCCTAGGCTTAGAGAGTCACCATTCCAGTGCTCAACATCTGGGAATGAGGCAGTATGATGAGACAACTGTTTTCTGTGCTGTTTTTTGGCCCAGAGCCCTTCTTGATTTGAGCAGGAAGGGGCATTGATGTCACTGCCATTAACCGGACTAGAGGACCCCCTCCCTGAATAGGGCTAAAATGGTCCACAATTGCCTTTCCCAAACTTTCAGAACAGAAAGCTCAAACATATAAAAGATGCATATAGGGCTGTAGCCAACCAAAGGTATCACCTGAATCACTTTCCACAAGAGCAGCAATCAGTCTTTCTTGTTTTTTCCCAGGACCCAGGTTTTCATGGTGTATCTGGGTTGAGTTATTTTCCTCCAGATCTGTCTGTAGATCATCCTGCTCCTCAAAGAAACCCAACCTTGTAGCCCCAGGGCCTTCTCACTCCCTATACCTCTTCCCAGAGCTGGACTGTGGTGAGCTACCTTCTTAAGCTCCTCTGGCTACTCTGGGGAGTCCAAGAGGACTTAGGGTCTCCAGATCACTCCTGGATTTGTCCCCAGAGGACCGAAAGCTGTTTGTGGGGATGCTGGGGAAGCAGCAGGGTGAGGAGGACGTCAGGCGCCTGTTCCAGCCCTTTGGCCATATCGAGGAGTGCACCGTCTTGCGGAGCCCTGATGGCACCAGTAAAGGTGACTTGAGCTGACCCTGGGATTTCCTGCCTCATTCTGGGCCTCATGACACTTTGGCCCCTGTGGCCTGAGCCACCCAATCCTTCTATTCTGCCCCAGGCTGTGCCTTTGTGAAGTTCGGGAGTCAGGGGGAAGCTCAGGCAGCTATCCAGAGTCTGCATGGCAGCCGGACCATGGCGGTGAGGGCGGGTACCCCGGGTCCAGGGTGAGGCCAGTGGGGTGGGGACGGGCTTCTCCTCCCCATGTGCGATCGGTGCCCCAGCAAAGGGCCTGATGGGTAAAGCGCTTGGCCTAGGGCCAGGGCTGGGGTCTGGACTGGTCACGGCGGCCTCCCCTGCCCTACCCAGGGCGCCTCGTCCAGCCTCGTGGTCAAGCTGGCGGACACGGACCGGGAGCGCGCGCTGCGGCGGATGCAGCAGATGGCCGGCCAGCTGGGCGCCTTCCACCCGGCACCGCTGCCGCTGGGGGCGTGCGGAGCCTACACCACCGCGGTAGGTGCCCGGCCCCAGGGGACAGGGACGCGCGGGCCCGAGGTCGGGAGCCGGGACAGCTGCCCGCCTCTGGGTCCTACACACCTGCCCTTCTTCCCTCCCAAAGATCCTGCAGCACCAGGCGGCCCTGCTGGCCGCGGCACAGGGCCCGGGCCTAGGCCCGGTGGCCGCAGTGGCGGCCCAGATGCAGCACGTGGCGGCCTTCAGCCTGGTAGCCGCGCCGCTGTTGCCCGCCGCAGGTACTGCGCTCGGGGGCGGGGCGGCGGCTGGGACCCCGCCGGGCAGGCCTGCGGCCTGACTCTCCGACCTCCTCCGCCTCCAGCAGCCAGCTCCCCGCCGGGCGGCGGCCCCGGCTCGCTTCCGGGTCTGCCAGCGCCCATCGGGGTCAATGGATTCGGCCCCCTGACGCCCCAGACCAACGGGCAGCCGGGCTCTGACACTCTCTACAATAACGGGCTCTCCCCTTACCCAGGTGGGCCCTCCGCTCCGCCCAAATCTCCCCGAAATGGAGTGGGGAGCGGGGGGCGGGGCGGGGAGGCGGCCACGGCCTTGGGAAGGGACTCCTCTTTCCCCGCTGCCTCTCACAACATCGCTCCACCTCCCTGCCCGCCCGCCTTCACCGTGGGCCTCGCGCCCCTCTCTCCCCAGCCCAGAGCCCTGGCGTGGCTGACCCCCTGCAGCAGGCCTACGCTGGGATGCACCACTACGCAGGTTTCACTTGGCGCTACGCGGCCTGGGGGGTTTGAAGGGCCCCAGAAAGGAATAGGGAGATTTGAGGGGGGGCGGTTAGGCTCTCTTCTGAGGAGTCGACCCTCCCATCCCCCCACCCCGGGCCCAGAACGACCTCCCTAAGGGGTGAGGGTTAATTGGACTGGGCCGAATTGGTCAAAGGTGGCCAGGCAGATGGGGCCATGCTTGGGGGATGGCTTCTGGGGGTCACTGCCCACTCCTACTCTGTCTCCAGCAGCCTACCCGTCGGCCTATGCCCCAGTGAGCACAGCTTTTCCCCAGCAGTCTTCAGCCCTGCCCCAGCAGCAAAGAGAAGGTGAGGGACAGGGGGCTGGAGATCAGAGCTTGGTGGGGCTGGACTCAGGGTCCCTCCCCTGAGCCAGCCTGCTGCTGTTCCTGCAGGCCCCGAAGGCTGTAACCTCTTCATCTATCACCTGCCTCAGGAGTTTGGTGATGCAGAACTCATACAGACATTCCTGCCCTTTGGAGCTGTTGTCTCTGCCAAAGTCTTTGTGGACCGAGCCACCAACCAGAGCAAATGTTTCGGTAAGCTGAGCCCCATCCATGGACCCCTCCCACTCCTAACTTTGAGATTCACTGCAGACCCTAAGCTTGTCTGTCCCTAAGTCAATGGCTCCCAGAAACTGAGTGTATGGTACAAAGCAAGCTCGCAGACCAGTGACTTGGCTAAGCCCCGCCCAGGAACAAGTCTATTTCAGGTTCACCTGGGAAAGTCAGGTGTCTGGAAGATGCTCAGCCAGGTCAGGCTTAAGAGTCTAGAAGGACAGGAAGATGGACCGGAGGCCAGAGATCCCCTCCAACCCCCAGCTGCAGTTTAGAGGACCAGAATGGGAGCTGTAAAGGGAGAGAATCAACCCCTGCCAGGGAAAGACAGGCAAAACCCCCAAGCAGCACACACCCCATCCCCAACACACACTTTCAGAATTGCCTCCTGTCCTTCCAAGAAACTTGGGCCGTCTGCCTACATAAGTATGAGTGTGTGTTTGTGTGTGCGTGTGCACATGCAAACGATGGAGGTTGGAGGGGCCTATGTTTGGAACTGGCCTGAGGGGACAGGGACAGAGGGGGCTGGTCAGAGAGAACGGAGGCCCTGCCAGGCAGAGTTCCCAGCTGATCTCCCTGTCCATACCCCCTAGGGTTTGTTAGCTTTGACAATCCAACCAGTGCCCAGACAGCTATTCAGGCCATGAATGGCTTTCAAATTGGCATGAAGAGGCTCAAGGTCCAGCTAAAGAGGCCCAAGGATGCCAATCGGCCTTACTGATCTTCTCTCACTGACCAGCCACAGAAAGGTAAGTCCGTGGTGGATCCCAGGCTGATGGGGCCTGAGTGACGGAGGCCCTGTCAGCTTTGATGTCCCTTTTGAGATGTTAGGAGCACCCACCTCTGAAAAAGTCTGGGAGAGAAGAGCCAGAAGTTAAGGAGGAATCCCCAGTTGGAGACTTTGTGTTTCTCCTTCGGTCCTAGGATGGGGATAAATTTGACAACGTCCTGCCCCCACAGTCTGGGAGAGACAGTTATGGCAAGATCTAACCAGTTAGTTCTCCTTCAGAGATGGCCACAGGGGGCTGTGGGGGTAGAGAACCCGCGTGTGGGGAAGGGCAGCGGGGTGGAGAATGAGGCTAGAAGACTTGGGAAGGCTCTTGAGTTTGGACTTTATCCTGAAGATGGTAGGGAACCACTGGGGAGTTTAGGCAAAGAGGGGAGAAGACACAGAGGCTGGGCCGATGGCAGAGAACCTGGAGATGAGGAGACAAGCAAATAAGCTAAAGAAGCAGGATCTGCAGGTTCCTGGTGGGTGATGGGGAGAGAGATGACAAGCTCCCTTAGGTTTCCAGCAGGGCCAGCTACCTGCACCTTCTAGAGATTTGCTGTCTCCGGAGGTCCACGTGGCCCGGCCTCACTGGTGCTACCCCAGGGAGCCCTTTGGGGAGGGTGTGGGGTCGGGGTCATCTTCCCAGGAGTGGACCAGGCTGCTCCCTTGCCCCTGCTCCTCAGGAAGAGGTCAAGCCACTCACCTGCTATGTCACTGCTGGGGCAGGCCGCTCTTCTTGTCTTGCCCTCCAGGGTGAGTTTTGCCTTTTTTAATTTTCTCTTTCCTCTCTCCTTATCAACAAATACCCAACAACAGAAACTGAAGAGTGAGAAGAAAGGAAAGGAAAAGCACAGAAATGCTTGAGCAGCCCTTCCTGGACGAGCAGCCACAGAGGGAGGTGGATCGGACCCAAGGCCGCGCCACATTAGGGATTGTTTCCATCAAGTGTGTTGTCCTGTGCCTGTGGCTTAGATCACAGGCCGGCAAGGCAGCTGGGGCTGGCTGAGGACCGACTGTCTAGGGGAACCAGCAGAGGACCTTGGGGGTGCCAAGGGCTTCTCCACAAGGGAAGCCCAGATTTACTTCTTTCAAAATCATATCATTCCTTAGAGTTTAGGGACCAAAGGACTATTGCTTTTTTAAGAATATAAATATATCTATATAAATTAAAAGAAAGAAACAGAAAAACAAAAGAAAAAAAAAACCACAAGAGAAACAAAAAGACAGTCTAGAGTCTCATACAAGCTGCCTTTAAATATCCCTAGGAGACAGGGTGAAGGAGACCTGTAAAAGCCCCAGCCTAGGTAGAGGGAGGCTGTGGAAAGAGTGTTCTGTGTCTCATTCCCTCTTAAATTGCCCCCCCCCGCCTTTTTAAAATAATTAAGGACTCAAGGTCTAGGTTCCCATGCAGGCAACAAAGAGAGTTATGGAAGCAGGGAACCCACAATCCCCAAACTCAGAGAAGATCCCTGAAGCCAGGAGGAGCTCTGGCCTGCCCTGCCCTTTGCCGTCCTGAGGGGCTCACTAGCCAGCGGGAGTGTCCTTGACAGTCTTTCCCATGGACCCATTGCTTCCCCAGACAGGAAGAAAGAGGGAGTTTTAACCACCCCAGCCTTTCCCTTCCCAACCCGGATAGACAGGCCCTGCCTTTGGCTGAGCTGAGACACCTCCTGTTTCCCCTCACCTTGAGCCGGCCCCAGTGTCCCCTTGCTCCAGGCCACCTTCTGTCTCCAAGTCTGTGTTTGCCCACCTGTAAAGTAGATTCAGGATATACGTAGAGGGCTGTGACAACAGACTTGGAAGGTTTGCTATTGTATATACTGCCATTGAGAAGGGGATCATTTTCAATATGTAGAAGCTTCAGAATTTAGAGGTCCCTCTTTACCCAAGACCTGGGAGGGAAGTAGATGTTTTGCCAAAATACTTCTTCATTCCTTTAAAAAGTACATCTTTCCTATGCAAGAGTGTCTCACATGTGCTTATCCAAGGTGCTTCTAGATGGTGAGCAGTGTTCCGCTTAGAAGTGGTGTGTGCTCTGTCTGTCTTTGTCTATCTGTTGTATTCAGTGGGTGCCATATAAAGCTGATCAATGGTGGTGCTTCCTGCCTGCTTCTGTCAGATGGGCAAAAGATCCAGCTTAGAACACCATGACTCACCTTGCCTTGGTCAGCCTGTCCTGGGCCTGCAGGGCCTTGCACATATTTTTCCCAGGAGGTGAATTTCCCCTCCACCTCACAGACCTGGATCAAAGAAGTATGGGGCCCCAGCTGTGTGGTGGGCACTCTGATCCCCAGATGTCACTGAGGCTGGAGGCCTCTGATCTGCGATCACATCAGACAGTAAAGGAAAGGATGTGGGGGAGGGGGTTGGAGGGTTCCTCCTTCATAACAGTTTCTAAGAAAACTTGTTCCCACCTGTTCCTCTGTCTTTGACTCATTTTTGGAGGGAATGGGATGAAAAGTAGATACAGTAATGACATTACCAGGTAAGGTGTAATGCATATCAACAAATTACTTCCAACCGAGAGAGGAAACAGTGTTGAGGGCATCATTACAGTGGCACAACGTGGACACATAGACTCATCACCCTGGACACAGGTGGATGTGTGGAGCACCTGTGCCTTCAAACAGATATTCCCATGGTGGCAGAGAGGTCCTTCACTACTAGGTGCTGAGCACTGAGCTAGAAGCTAGGGCTCCGGCACGTTATACGTGCTCAGAGTTAGTGGGAAGGACAGACCAATTTGGGAGTTACAATGGAAGGCCACACAGGGTCTACGATCACAAGCAGAAGAGTATCTAATTCAGACTCGATTGGGAACGGAGGTCAGAGAAAGATTTCGTAAAGGAGTTGAAGGAGAGAAGGGTCTTCAAGGATGCACTGGGACTTTGAACAAAGCTGTTTGGACAGCTGCACCATTTTGATAAGTTATCTTTATTACCAAGAAATAATAATGATTACCATGTATTCAGTGCCGATTATGTGGGAGACAGTGGGCACGAAGACATCTCTACCCTGAACCTTAACTTATTACCAAGTCATATCAAGACACTTGAACCAAAATGGCACTTAAATATTTTGCTTCATGGTAGGGACTGACAGACTGTGTGTCAATGCTGCAGAGGGTGGCAGGGTCTAGATCAGGGGTTGGCAAACTGTGGTCTGTGGGCAAATCTGGCCTGCAACCTGTTTTTGTATGGCCTACAAACTAAGAATGGTTTTACATTTTTTAAAGGGTTGTGAAAATAAAACAAAGAAACAATGAGTATGCGATAGAGACCATATGTGCCCCCACAAAACTAAAATATTTATCTGGTCCTTTAGACAAAAATTTGCTGACCCCAATAAGATCATGCAAGACTTGTACAATATCCAATGAGTTTGAACAACATTGTGTTTGTGTCTCTGTTGTGTGTGCATGTATCAGTCTGGACTCTTTCAGTTGCACGTATCAAAACCCCAACTCAAACATGTTTAATCCAGTAGGAAATTAATTGGCTTACACAATTGATAAACCAAAGGATGGATCAAAAAGCAAAACAAAACAACAAAAAACCAAAGGATGGGTCTGCCCTCATGCATGGCTGGATCTAGGGGCTCAGTTGATGATGTCTCCCATCTCTTGGCTCTGCATCCTTCCATATGTTGGCCTCACTAGTTCTAGCTCTAAAGTCCTAGAGAGGACTTTGGCCACAATGGACATGTGCCTATGTCTAGGGTGGAAGAGTAGGCCACCATAATTGACAACTTCACCAGGATTGTGTAGAGGGGAGAAATGGGTCCCCAAAGGAAGGGATGGTGGGTAAATAAGCAATATGCATCCACTGTATTCCACCCCTTTATTGCCCAGCAGCTACCTATATTTTTCTTGACAAACATACAATTTCAAAAATGTACCTGCCCAACAGTGAAATGATCCTAGGCCCCCCAAAAAATGGGAGACAAAACGGAATCCTGTCCAATTGCTTTACTGAACTCTCAGTCCAGGGTCCTTTTGTGATGTGCATTTCTTCATCAGGTCTGGATGTAACTTATGATTCTACAATCTATGGCTAAAAGATCGATTTAGCTACCCCTGCATAATCAATATGAAATGGGAGGGGGAAATAGGGTAAGTATTTTTTTAAAAGAAAGAAACCTTCCATTTGGATTAGGGAAGAAGAAAAAACAATGGTCACTAACCTATAGCATATAGTACATCTTTCTGGGTTGTGGAACAAGTTTCTTGGTTAACAAAACTGATTGCTCTTAGTCCTTTCCACTGGGAAGCATCTCTTATTATCCATTGTCCTTTATGGAAATCCCTCAGAGGATGCTCCTTCTGGAACTGAAGCATTCCTCTTCCCTTTGGACATGGTTTCGAACCGCACCTTAAAGACTGCCTTAGAGATTATGCGTTCCCAGAGCCCTGTATAGCAGGGGTGAGGATTCTCTGGTGATACAATTCCTTTCAAACCAATTGATTTTATTCCTGGGCCCTCTGTGAGCTAGGAACCACCATCAAGAATCTTGCTGAGTCCTTGTCCTTGAACCTGGATCAGGCCCTTGTGGTTTCTGTTTCTTAGCAATAGGTCACACTTTGCCCGTTCTCCCTCCCCTCAGTTTCATGGCTTCCACAATGGTCTGTCTATGCTGTCAATCTTAATCTGCTCAGTGCCCCCCCCCAAAACCCATTATCTATTCAACACTTGGCAGGCTCATGCTCCAGTAGCCCTAACCAGATGATAGTCAAAATCCCTGGGTGGTACTGGCTCCTACATCTCAGCCCCAAGGAGATGCTTAGGATAGGAGTGAGACAGCCACACAAGCACTCCTTTTGGCCAACCTGCAGCTTGCTCTGTTCCCCGCCCCCTGGCCATGGTCCATTATTACACTGACGCCACATCACCAAAGCAGTCCTAAGAGGAGTCTGTCCATGGACATCGAATTTGCGGGCCCTCTGAGAACTGGTATCACTTGGGGACTGCGAGCAAGCTCTTCAACCTTTGGCAGGGCCTCTGGGATTTCTTTCTCTCTGGATGCAGCCTGGGTGTCTTAGATGTAGGAAGAAAAGACCTCTAGTCTGAGATAGGATGGATGACCTCTGACACTGGAAGCAGCTCTGGATCTGGTGTGTATTCTGACCACATCTGCAGTCTCGCCTCTGCCTCAGTGGAGCATAACATGCATAGAATACCCTCCCAAAGGAGGTGCTAAGGACATGGAGATCACAGAATCTCCCTTGATAATTTCCAGCTTCAGCTGTGATCTTTGGACATCCACTGTTTTGACTGCACCTGCCTGCCTCGCGACATGGCCAAATCCAGCTGAGACTCAGAGGCTGTTTTTGGCCTCCGGGCTCCCATTCATGGCCCGTACGTGTATACAATGATGTCACACAACCTTATGTTTTTGGGAGAACCAGTGAAGGAAGAAATCTGATAGACTGAGGGAGTTCAGAGCCAATGCAGTCTAAGTGGCTGCCCTTCCAGGCTGAGCCATGTGGGGTCCACAAAGAGGTGACCAAATCTGTGCCAAGTACAAACTTGGAAAGGGCAGAGAGCCACCCTTTCTCTCCCTAGTCCTGGTTTTACACTGCTATCCGTGTTCTCCACCCTCCAGCAGCCTGGGTCGATCAGAGCCTTTGACTGCCCGGCCATCTGTAGAGGAGACTTTGAACTTCCAGGCTCTGGCCTCCTGCTTTCAAGATGCCTAAGAGCAGAGACCCAGAAGTCAGACACAGGCTGCAAGCCTGGGTCTGACTTTTCCCAAGGGAAGTATTAGGTGCCCAGGAAAAAATGCAGGGAAGCATGAAGACAGCCTGTGAAATGAGCCTCAGCTTCCCCTATGGAGTAAGCTAGAAATGGCCCGATCTCTGCCACCCAACCCCCCCCAACCCCCAACCTTGGCCCTGGGCTCCTGATAGGAAGCCAGCAGTCTGGGCTAGATTCCCTGCATTTGGGCAGGAAATCTGCTCTGTCCACAGCAGTCCACAGTTGGGACTTAATGTTGGGACAGGGGCTTTGATTGTGGCTCTGTGTCTTAACCAAAGTACTCTAGAAACAGACTCTGAGACAAGGGTTACGGTGCTCACACTATTTGGGGAGATGGAAGGATGATGAGAGGCGAGGAGAGACATGAGTCAGGAAAGATGTGAAGCAATGCAAGACAAGGTATTACTGTGTTGGCGATGTCCTCACATGAGCCACGAGGAGAGAACAGGTCACATGACAGTGTTGTTTGCTAAGGACATGGTGCTTGCAAGGAGAAACCACCTTGGAACAGTTCACCAAGAGGAGAATTGGGAGGGAGTTTATCTATCTGTTCCTCCCCTCATTTCCTGTTTCCCACTGACCAAGGTGCATCCCCCAGAGAGCTACCTCCACCGTACTTCTGAGTTGCATCATTTGCCCCCAGGTGGCTGCTTGGGAAGTCAGATCCCACAGCCTGCCATGTGGCATTTCTACCACAGATGTGGAAGTGCAGGGGCTATTTGGCATAGGTGGGGATTTAAGTTTAAGAAGGCACATGAGGTTTGTGACCAATATATCCTACATTTTCCCACAGGATTCAAAGCCAATATCCCCATGCACACAGAATCCCCAGCACTGTCTGAATTCTAAGTGAAATAAATATATAGTTTTTGGGGGGAGAAAAAAGGTGCATTCAGGTGTGGCGTGGAGGATCAGACTTTTTCTTTGGAATTTCTCAGGCCGTAAGCTCCGGTATCTCCTGTTGGATGTCCCATGTCTCTGCTTTTGTTTTCATTCACTTAAACTTGAGGAAGAAGATCTGGCTTTTATAATCTATAAGACGCGTGATGACCCTTGGCAGTCTAGCTTGCTGGCCACAGGCAGAAAGGGCAACTCTGAACAAAGCTGGGTATAATTCTGGTTCTGCCAGCATGGAAGCAAGCGGAACTGCAGGACCTTAATGAAAATCTTAAGAGGCCAGCACACTTCAACATCCAGATATTTTTCCAGTGTGTCCTGGAGATCTCCATCTAGGATGGATGCATGACCCAAATCTCAAGATAAGATAGGGGATCATTTAACCAGCTAATTTGATATCACATAACAGGGATTTCCAACTTCCCAGCCAAGGACTGTCAGATTCCCACTGCCCCCATTTCACTTCGGTTCCACCATTCTAGAGTCTGCACACCCCATTCCATTTTTGTATTAGAACTGGTTGGGGGACAGGTGATAGAATCCAACACAAACCAGCTTAAGCAAGAAGGAACTGAGAGGTGTAGTGGTATTACTGATTTAGGCGGGGCTGAATTCAAGGGCTCAATTAAATGTCATCAGCTAACCCTCACTCCATCTCTCAGGGCTCTGCTTCTCTTTGTGCCTTGGTCCCATTCTCTTTCCTGCCACAGACACACTTTCTCCATGGGACAGAGAGAGCTGGATGCCAGCAGCTTCAATCTCATATGCT